TTGAATCAAGATTTTGGTTCATTTGTGGCAGAAATTCAGACTTTCTCAACTTTCAACCATTTGTTTAGTGATAATGGCACTGAAAAAGTGACTTATGACCAGGGGTGGGATTCAAAATTTTTAACAACCGGTTCTGTGGGCGTGGCTTGTTGGTCATGTGACTGGGTAGACATGGCTTGGTGGTCATGTTATTGGCTGGGCGTGGCCAACTCAACATCACTCACATCGAGGCACGCGTCTCCTCGCCTGGCCTCTCGTGACTGTGGGGATGCTGCAACAGTCAAAAGTGTGACAAATGGTCATAAGTCACTTTTTTCAGTGCCATTGTAACTTTGAATGGTCCCTCCACACAAGCAAAGAACCAGCAAAGGAGGGGAAAAAACTCCAGAGACGTTCCTGAGACAGGAAGTCTAGTCCTGCCAAGAATATAATAAGGGTTAACGGTGAGGCAGTTTCTGTAAGCAACACCAGAATGTTTCCTTCCTGCCTTCCTTACAGGATTAGCCCAGTAATTTCTTCTAACAACCGGTTCTCTGAACTGCTTAGAATGTTAACAACCGGTTCTAGCGAATAGGTACTAACTGGTAGAATCCCACCCCTGCTTATGACTGTTTTTTATACCTATATAAGTTGCAGCACTCCTCATAGATGTGATCAAAATTTGGACTCTTGGCAATTAACTCATATTTATGATGGTTGCAGTGTCCTGGAGTCATGTTATTCCCTTTTGCAGCCATCTGACATTCAAAAGTCAATAGGGAAGCCAGATTCACTTAGCAACCAGGTGACTAACTTAACAATTGCCGTGATTCACTTAACAACAGTGACAAAGGAGATTGAAAAATGGGGCAAAACTCACTTAACAACTTTCTTGCTTAGCAGTGAAAATTTTGGGCTCAGTTGCATTGTGGTTACGAATAGAACTTTTTTTTAAAACCATTTACCAAAATCCAACATGGATCTTTGAAAACTGCATTTGAATTTTCAGTTCTTAGTATGAGCAATAAAACAAATTTGCAAAACTAAAAGAATATGTTCATTTGAAATGAACATAAGTTTCTGTTTATGATCATTCTGGTCACCATCTGGCTAGAATATTCAAGGGGTGATTGGCTCAAAGTGATTAAGGTAGGATTAGAATTCACCATCTCATGGTGATTGAAGTCATCCAGCCGGCTTTCACAGCTAAAGCGGGACTAGAACTCACTGTCTCCTGGTAAATTGGCCTAAAGTCATCCCTTTGGTTTTTGTACCCAAAACGCACTAGAACTCATTGCGTATTGATTTCTAGGCCAATACCTTATCATTACAGCAAACTGGCTCTCAGTATTTTATCTTCTTTTTCAACCTACCAGCTTTAAAAAATTTTAAAAACAGCACCAGAATATCATTGGGCATTGATTTTCAAACAATTTCCTACAATGTATCAGTAGCCATGGGCTTGATTATAGTGTGCTGTGAGGTTTTTTTTTTAATCTTGTGTTATTTTTGTTTTTAATTATATCCTGCATATTCTATATATTTGATACAGTGCAGATGTTAAACATATATGTATAACTGGCCTTCGACCATATCTAACATATTAAAAAACATGTATTTATGATTAATAATTTTCTGATGTGCGATAGAATAACTGCTATACAGAATTCAATATTGTGCTAGTGATTCAGAAAAATTGTGAACCACTAATTGAGGAAAGTCCTGGGCTGGGCCTGCTTCAGATTTCAAAGTACAAATCATGCGCACGATTTAAGCAAAGCATTGCCCAAGGAAATGACTTAAATGTCTCTCTCTCTCTCTGTGTATATGTGTTAAGATAAAACAACAACTGGTGCCACAAGGAGGTCCAACACAGAACAAAAAGTACTTTCTGCATTTTGGAGGATATGATTTCCATGCTGGTGGGTGAGAACCATGTTTTGGAGTACATTAGAATCACAGGGAGACTGTGAGTTCTAGTCTTGCCTTAGGCATGGAGCCAGCTAGGTGATTTTAAGTATTTTTCAGCCCTAGAAAGAAGGCAATGGCACCAGACTCGAAATTCTAGACCTTGAAAACCTAGAACTACGCCGCCTTCGGTCTGATCTAAATATAGTATAAAAAAATCATACATCGCAATGTCCTACTGTCAATGAAAACTTCAGCTTCAACCATAACAACACTAGAGGAAACAATAGATACAAACTCAAGGTTAATCGCACCAAACTTGATTGCAGGAAATACGACTTCAGCCACAGAGTGGTCAATGTCTGGAATACTCTACCTGACTCTGTGGTTTTTTTCCCCAAACCCCAAAAACTTTAACCTTAGACTGTCTACTATTGACCCAAACCCTTTTCTAAGAGGTCTGTAGGGGGTGTGCATAAGATCATCAATGTGCCTACCCCTGTCCTGTTGTTTATTTTTTTATTTTTCTTATATTTATCCATGTATTCATAAGTATGTTTTTACTTATACTTATTATCTTGTAAGCAATTGACAAATAAAAATAAATAAAAAAATAAAAAATAAATAAATCAGTTTTAAAATGTTGCCAAAATATTGCAGGGACTTGGTAGTTGACAGGAGTCAAAAATGGGAAGAGGAGAAGAGGAGGAGGAGGAAGAGGAGAGGGAGAAAGGGAGGGGAAAGGGAGGAGGAAGAGGAGGAGGAGGGGAGGAAGAAGAAAGAATGGAAATCCAGGTTCTACTCTTCCTCCACCATAGAAGCTTCCTGGGTTGGACTTCGTCCCTGTCTCCCTCTTTCAACTCAGACTACTTCAAAAGGTTGTTGTTACTGCAAAGGAAATGAAAAAAGAAAGTACCATATATTGCATTGAGCTTGGGAAGTTTTGTAAAGAATGCAGGAGAGATATCTAACAATAAGAGATCCAGCTTGATTACAGGTAGTTCTTGACTTACAATTATTCGTTTGTTACAGTCACTTATGACTATTTTTCGCACTTATGACCATTGTAGCATCTCCATGGTCATGTGATCAAAATTCAGATGCTTGGCAATTGACTTGTATTTATGACGGTTGCGCCCTTTTGCGCCCTTCTACAAGCAAATTCAATAGAGAAGCCAGATTCACTTAACAACTGTATTATTAACTTAACAACTGCAGTGATTCACCTAACAACTATGGTAGGAAAGGTTGTAATATGAGGCAAAACTCACTTAACAGCTGTCTTGCTTAGCAATGAAGATTTCGCTTCTCAGTTGTGGTTATAAGTCAAGGACTACTTAGTCCCCGCTGAACCATGAGACTTCACAGGCTGTTTTGTACCCCATCGGTCTCCTCTAAACTGGACTGCCTTGCAGGGTCGTTGTGGGAGAGAAATACATTTTGTACTGCTCATAGATATAAGGACATATCAAATTCTAAAATATTACTTGGAGCATTTTATATTGCTTCATGAGGGCTGGATACAAACACATATAGAAGCCATCTTGTACATTTTTTTCTAAATAGACACTTACTGTACCATCTATAGAATTTCCTTCTCTTTTGATGTAGAAACCTGGCCTGTAATTGTATAGTCCCTGGTGATGGAAAACAGCTCTACACACTACTTTTAAGTTTTTTGTTTTGATCTTTTTTTCTTTTCTTCCAGGGTTGAAATCGCTTCCAGCAGAAAAGTTTTCTTAGCTCCCCCTCCTGCCCTATATCAAATGCTGTTACAGTGCAGAATAACTTAAAAATAACAGAAAGCGGAATAATAGAGGGACCTCGTCCAACCTCCCTGGTCAAGCAGGAGACCGTACACCTTCATGTCCAACCTCTTTTTGAAAACCTGCAGTGTTGGAGCATCCAGAACTTCTGGAGACAAGCCGTTCCACTCGTTAATTGTTCTCACTGTCACTATAAAACCTACTTTATTCTTGGCTGCTTGAATTTCACATCGTGGTATCCAAGCACTTTCACTTTGATCTGTACCCAACGGATAACTTTGGAGGTTAATTTGACCATGCAAATATTTGAAGAAGTAAAGAAAAACCCAGTTTCATCTTCAGCGGGACATTCTGATAAAGCCGCTAAACATCTACTGCATTAAATCTGAATATGATCATGGTTTAGGCAGGCCTGTTAAAGCTGTTTCAGATCCCTGGAGACTACTCACCCAAAAGGAATGTCACAGACAAATAAAATATATCCCGAGTCTAGATCTGCTGTCACCACGTTGGGCTCGAAAAGAGCAGTTCAGAGACAAGCTACTGAAGGAATCTGAGATAAAACTCGAAAAGTTTAAACGGAGTGAGCCAAATTCCCGGGGTTTCCATGGCAGCCTCTGAAGCTGATAGGAGCCACTTTTCAAGTGAGTATAAGTTCCCACTTCTTTTGCTGGCATTTAACGGAAAACAATCATACATATATTTTTTTTTTCTGCTTTGTTTTCCTGTTTCCAAGACTGTGCAAATTTGTCCTTTGTGGGATTAGCTTCCTAACAACCATTTACCGGAGAGAGAGAAATTGATCACAACCTTTTAAAAAGCCCAATCAGAGAAGGCTTCTATCTCCCCTATGGCTGCAAAAGTGAAGGATTAACCATTCCCTATTTGGTTATTGTACCTCCGATTATTATTTTTTTTAAATTAAAGTTTAGTCTTCACAGTCCTTGCAAGGGAGACTTAACCACTTGCAAACACTTCCAGAAAACTCAACTAGGGCAGTTCTGGTTAAGAGAGTCAGAAAGGGCTTTAATTGTGGCTCATTTCTGTGTTTGCCTAGGTGCAAGGTGAGGAAAAGGTGTTTAAAAAGCCTGAATAGGAGCCACGGTGGTGGCTGGTTAATCGGGAATTATTCAAAAAGAAGAATGGTGTAGCAGCCGCGAAGAACAGAGTCTGCAGAGGAAGAAGTGAGGGAGTAAAAGTTTTGTGGGTGGGAGAAGCTAAGGGAAGAGGGAGGGAAAAAAAATTGGCAAGCAACGGATGGTGCTTTGCATCAGTTTAACAGTGAGCAGAAAGCTTGAGGTTCTTTCCTCCCATTGTACAACACCCTTCCCTCCTCCTGGCCACCCAGAACCCTATAAATAATCCTGTCTTCTCCTGTCTTTCTCACTTCCCAGTTCTTAAGGCAGCAGGAAGCCAGCTGAGGAGGCTAGAAGAGGACCTTAGGGGAGAAAGGAAAGGAGGAAAGGGCGAAGAGGAGAAAGGAGGAGGACAAAGAGAAGACGGAGAAGGAAGAAGAACATCATGGCTAGTGAATTAAAGAAGAAAGCATTCTGGAGAGCTGTCGTGGCCGAATTTTTGGCCATGAGTCTCTTCATCTTTATCAGCATCGGCTCAGCCCTGGGTTTCCAATTCCCCGTGATGGCCAACAAGACTATCACGCCCATTCAAGACAACGTGAAAGTCTCTTTGGCTTTCGGCATCTCCATTGCCACCATGGCCCAAAGCGTGGGCCACATTAGCGGAGCCCACTTGAACCCGGCCGTGACCTTAGGTCTCCTGCTCAGCTGCCAAATCAGCATCCTCCGGGCGGTCATGTACATTGTGGCACAGTGCCTGGGCGCCGTGGTGGGCACTGCCATTCTTTCAGGCATCACATCCAATCTGGATGGCAATCTGTTGGGACTCAACCAGGTAAGTGGGCTGGGCGGCTCTTCTTCCTCGGGGTGTTGATTTTTTAAAGATTCTAGTCCTCGTGGGGGATGGAGACATGAATTGGCACCAGCCGCTCCAAACGAATTGAGGATGTCAGTGATGTTCTTCTCGGCTGTCCAGAGATTCATTTCATGGAAACCAAAAGAGCAAATTCTTCTTCTGAGGGGTTTTCAAGAACTTTTTCCCAAGAGCTGTTCATAAACTTTGCTTCCAGCCAGAGTTGGTGCTTTTTAACAGCTGGGTGTGAAGCAAAGGACAGCTTGTTGTAGCTAGAGATAAGAATAGGGCAGAGCATGGGGACGCAAAGGCATATTTGGTCGGAGATAAACTTCAATAGGATGAACATCCCTTGACAAGATAAATTTTAAATATTGGGGCTCCAGGTTTCCAATTGTCCCATGTTGAGATGAATTGTCCACCTGGTGATAGCAGAGGAGTTTCTTTGTGGAAAGGACACTGGCAGCCTGCATTCCTTGTTCATCCCTGAAGCCACATGCTTTGCCAAAGACTCCAGTGGAATTTGAAGTGTTTGTAAGTACACTATTCCAGAACCCAGAATTTACTAGTATGAAATTGGTGGGTATCAAAGCATGAAAATTGAGAGGTAGGTCTGGTGGCTTAGCTGGTAACAGAGAGGCAACGGGCAGAAATTTAACAAGTGAAATCTCCCTCCTTTTCCCTTTTTCTCCCTTCCCCCTTTTTTCTCTTCCCCACTTTCCTCCTCTCCTTTCCTTCATTCTTTCTCTCTCATACTTTTTCCTTCTCCTTTTTTCTTTTTCTCCTCCCTCCTCCTTTCTTCTTTATTTTCCTCCTCATCTTCTTCCTCCTCCTCCCTCTCCCCCCCTCCCTTCTCTTGTGTGTGTGTGAGTTATCCTGTTTTTCTCAAAACAACAGAACGCAGAGAAATTAAAACTGGGAGTGGCCCCTTTGAACACAAACAAGTATCTCCTTCAAATACAGAAACAGGTCAACCATCAGGTTCTACCTATAGACAGACCCTTATCTTCTCTGGCAGACTCACTCCACTGGGGGAGATTCAAAGATATTCCATCAGTCTGTGCTCATAGATGGTCTCTTATCTTCTCTAGCAGACCCCTCTGGAGATATTCATAGTTACCAAGGCAAACAGAGACACCAATCTGGGGCAGCCCATTCCAGAACTGCGTCTTTAAGAAATGTACAAAAGAGACACTCAGTTTTCATGTTTTGATGCAGTCTCCTTTAATAGGAGTGACCCCAAAAGAGTGAGCATTTGGCCATCTTCCACCCTTGCACATGCCCTTTGCACACTCAGGAATAATCTATGTTCCTCGGCACATGCCTCTGTGGAGCTGTCAGTTGCAGCAGACATTTGGTCATCTTCCTGGCCCAGTTTGCAGAATCCATGGGGGCGCTTGGTTCTTAGCGACAGAGTTCCCCAACCTTTCCAGCTTTGCGGCCCAATGGAGAAAAGAGGAGAGGGAATGGTTCCAGGTGAACGGCAAGCAAGCACATGCATACAGCTCCATTTGCATGAGTAGCAGGCACATATGCCCATCGCATAAATGGAGCATGCATGCATGCACTCGATCGCTACTTGCACAAATGGGGATGTACAGGCATGTATACGCTCGTCACTTCCGCAGCCCGGTTCCAAAGAATCCAAGGCTCAGAATTGGGCTGTGGCTTGGGAATTGGGGACCCCTGCTCTATGACCCCTGAAGCCCCATCTGGCAACAGCTCAAAATTGCTCTTTACTTCAAACTGAAATTTCCCAAAGTTTTAAAACAATCAATCAATCAGAATAGAGCTGGAAGTCTAGAAGCATCCATTGCTGCTTGTCCTGTCTTCAGGTGGAGAATAAGTTGACCCCTTCCTCTTTACAGCAGCCCCTTAACAACTGGAATACTGCTATTCTATTATCCCTATTCCTTCTTTTCTCTAGACTGGCTAATTCCTGCAACCGTTCTTCATGTATGTTTTAATCTCCAAGCCCTTAATCATCTTAGTCGCTCTTCTTGGCACTTTTTCCAAAGCCTCAACATCATTTTTGTAATTTTTTTTTTAAATTAAGCAGTGAGTTGCTTCTTATTTATCCGCCTCCCTTTAAAATCAGGCTGACTGAGTATTGGGGCAGGGGGTGCACACATAACCATGGCAAGCGGTCCACGGGATCAGGTCAAAAAAGGCAAGCTGGTGACTCAGTTGGTCCTATCGAAGCCTCAAGTATTTTTATGCACATTGCATGTTTGACTTTTTTTGACCATACTTTGCAAACTCCCTGCATGATGAGGTCCAGTTTGTTTGCCTATGTTCAAATATCTGCAAGAAAAATCTTCTCCAGTAGCTAAAACAAAAAAGGATTCCCTCAAATTACGGCAACTTTTTTCCCCTCCCAAAGCATATTTGATGACAGTTTTTAGGGGCCACCAAGTAGAAGCTTCGTGTCATGGAATTGCACAGCAGCTGTCCAGATGAAGTCGGAGACACAGACATAAATTTGTAGTCTTTTATGTAAATATATTTAATGTTCAAATTTTCAGTAGTCTTTGTCATCGTTCAGAAAAGGAAGAACATAAAATAGTCAGGTACACAGGAACTTCATGAGATAAAATTAACAACAGGCAGAACGCACAGAAGAAAAAAGGCGGGAAAGAAAGGAAACGCCCCCTTCATACCTACGACAGCCAATCATAGCGTAGATTGCCTCATGCAGGAGCCAGCACTCTCTAGTCAATCAACTGCAACTGTCCTTTACTGTCCTATCTACTAAATTAAATATCCTAACATGGTTCTCCCTCATTTACAAATGCTGGTAGCGTTTTTATATACTGGCAAAAAGAAATTCACATACTATATCTTTATATCTCCCAACTTAACATGTGAAGAGTTTTTCTTCTTCTTCTTCTTCTTCTTCTTCTTCTTCTTCTTCTTCTTCTTCTTCTTCTTCTTCTTCTTCTTCTTCTTCTTCTTCTTCTCCTCCTTCTCCTTCTCCTTCTCCTTCTCCTTCTCCTTCTATGGCCTAAAAACAATGGGGGGATGGATGGAAGGAAGAGATGGATGAATGGATGGATAGATGGAGGGACGCATAATTGATGGAAGGAAGGATGG